AAATGGTAAGAACAGTACCTTACAATACCTGCCAGAATCCTTTTGAAAACATGGGAAGTAAAGGGTAGGAAAAATCATTGGTTGAAACATTTTTATAAAAAAAAAAGTACTAAATCTGTGACTACAAATATTTTGTAACATGAATCGCACACTTAACCCTATGGAAATAATTCATAAATATTTTCTTGAAATTTATGAAAATATTCTGCTCTTAAAAATGCTGAAGTAAAAAAAAGATTATTGTGCAAAGATTGATTAAAATTGATGGTTAAAGTCTGAACATATACAAACTACTTAGCTGGTTTCATGGGTAAGTTCCTTAAAAAGTTTTCTTTAGTGTAAATATTGTGGTCTTTGTTATAAGCAAGTATTTTTGTCAATTAATTTAGAATTCTCAAGTTATGGAGCAGGTGCTGTATATAAGGAAATTATCTTTGGCCTTTTCGAAGCTATAAATGAGTTGATATACTCATTTGTGGTCAAAATAGGCCTACATTAATTGGTTCTTCTTTATGGTCGCTTTTTCTGACACTTTGCCGTTGAAGCATTACCCAAAGTAGGCACTTCTCAATCACAAATTCATAAATTAAAAACTAATTTATCCTAACCAACCAATTATGTTGAATAAGAAGTTTCAATTAATATTTAAACATTTCTTCTTCTCTTAACACCTGATTAAACCATGTGTATTATCCTTTAATGTGTCAGAGAAAATATTAAAAATTACATTAGAAAAGTATTTTACTAAGTTTGTTTTTTTGGTAATCTCACGAGAAAAGCATACATGCACACATATACATAATTAAGATTTTTAAATTCAGAATTTGTTGAACTTTTTCAATATACAAAATTCTAAAAACAACTTTTTCAGTAGATGTTACAAAATTATAAAACATATTTTTGAGTTGAAGTGGTTAAAATTGTTACTTTATTAAATTCTGACATGCAGATGTGAACTTGACACATGAAATGTGCTTTGTAGTCAAGATAGGTTTAACAATATGGATAAATTGTTATAAATTAAAATAAAAACAACAAAATGAAAGTAAAGACATTACTGACCTAAATAAGAAAGTGACCAGAAGTGTACTGGCAAGTACAAGTGGATTTAGGTTGATAAGAAGGAATATGTCACATCTCAAAACTTTAAAATGCACACATGAAGAACATTAACCTACTTTATATAATTCTTTATACAAGCTTTGGACAGTTCATATACATTGAGGTTTTGATCAGTCTAGCTACTCAAATAAGTAATTAACTCAGTTAGCTTTAAGCCTACCTACTGCAATGTAGAAAAAAAAAATCAGCACTTTATAAATACCCTAGTCTTTGGATGAATACAATTACACAAATGACAAATGGAGTGAAGCCAAGTTTCAGTCAAAAGTACATTAAAATAACCAATAATTGATTAATACACCCTATTATAACCAACATTTCACATCAGATGTATCTTTGGTATTGCAGAAAAAATTAACATTTGATAATTATATCTAAACCAGCAACTGAAAAATATCAGTCAAAAAATAACCTACTTAATTGTGATGCTGCTTTGACTTTGACAATACACTATTATATGACTGTGCTTCTGTTACAATTTGGAAGCAAGTTTCACACTCGTGGTTCAAAAGTAACAACTACCGGTCATGAAGTTCAACTGGCAAATTGCAGTACAGTAACTGAATAAAATTTCAGTCTTAAGAATTAATAGCAATTAATTAAAATAAGTCGTAATATTGCAAAAGATTCCCATACGTTCAGCAGAAAAAAAATAGTAATTCCTAATGAGTGGCTAGGTTACAAAGGACATGACCAATGACCATCCAAAATGGTGTTACCAATACCTTAGTCAGGCTAAGTAACAATATTTTTACTAAATATGCTTGTTTCAGATCAATTTAAATGTAAAAAAGTAAAATCTGCAGATGTATTAAGGTAAAACTCAAAGGAGCTTCAGAGAAATGAAATTTGGGCCTTTCTTCATTTTCCTTTGAAAATAACACTTTACAGAGGGATGAATTAAACTAAATCA